ATATATATATACATAGGATGTTATATGTTCAAATATTTAAAATTAGTGTAATTGTACTTATATAAGGTTGTTCTATCCAGAAGGCCCCGGCATGGCCAGGTGGTTAGGGCGCTCGACTCGCAATCTGAGAGTCGCGGGTTCGAATCCGCGTCACACCAAACATGCTCGCCCTTTCAGCCGTGGGGGCGTTATAATGTGACAGTCAATTCGTTGGTAAAAGAGTAGCCCAAGAGTTGGCGGTGGGTGGTGCTGACTAGCTGCCGTCCCTCTAGTCTTACACTGCTAAATTAGGGACGGCTAGCGCAGATACCTCTCGTGTAGCTTTGCGCGAAATCCGTAACAAACTAACGAGTAATTTTGAATTTATAGACGTTTCATATGCTTAAGACAGACTTTACATCAAATAAATGAATATTTCAATATAAAAGAGACAATTTCTTTGCCTCTGATGTTTCAAAACTGAAATACTACAAGCTTATTTAGAACTTGATTAAACGTTGTGACTGTAGACAAATTACGAAAACAGAATCTTCACCTTATGTGGCGCCATCTTTTGGAACGATTGTTATATTAAAGTTGATTCTACTGGAATTCAACTCAGTGTAAACATGTTAGTAAGGTTGGAGTTTCGTAATCGTTAGATAACCGATGTTTCAGCTTTTTTTTTTTTGCTTAGGTGTTTCTTAGAAAATATATAGATCGACAGATAAATAGACAGAACGATAGAAATTGTTCAGCTGAATGACTGTGCAAGAAAGCATTTATTTATTTATAAGCAATTTGTAACTTATGGAATTAAATATGTTTTAGTTGGGGAAACATGTCTTATGTATTATTTACACATATATATCATTGTTTCTTTACCAAGTATCAAACTGTCGCAGTATACATATACTGATGCAATGCCTGCATTCCAATTTCTTAGGTTTTGTGTGGACTGAGCTGAAGAAAATAATGTGACAGCATCTTGGCACGAACCGCTCTTGAGCTAACTTATCTACAAACATCAAACACTCCAACTTAGCGCGTGTAAACACACTTTTTATACCTTGCAACAATGTGACGCAACACTCTAAAGAAGCTTAGGCTCTGCCATCAAACCCTGGTAATCTTTTTGACATTTAATCTCACCAGCAATAATGAAAAGCTCAAGCGATACTCTCCTGCTTTCGCTGTGACGTGAACGAGCTCGTGCCTCCTCGTCAGATTAGTTAGAACATATGCATAAAAGATATAGTAGAAGTAGTACGTCGCACCACATGTGCCAATAAAATTCAATTCCCGGGATGCAGAAAGCGCAGCCAATAGGATCATGTCAAGTGTGGGATTACAACGCAACTACTCTTGAATTCAAAGAGACAAGCAACAAAGCTAGTTTGTCAGAGGCTGTGTCTTCTAGTACAGCGCTCAGTTACTAATCCATCAAATCATGACGAGGATTACATTCTACTTAAAAGAGAAAACAAACCCCCCATGAGTCTTTCGTACCTGCACCCCAATTCTACTGCACTTTATGGCTTAAGTTACTCTTTAGTCTTTCTGAATTTCAAGAAATATCTAACTTGTTGACAACACTAAAACACCATCAACGCAGAGCTGCCTATTGTTAGAAACATCTAACTTTTGACAAAATTAGAACACCATCAACACAGAGTTGCCTACTGTTAGAAACATCTAACTTGTTGACAAAACTAAATTACCATCGACACAAAGCTGCCTATTGTTTCCGGGAAAACATCAGTGTATAAAACTTTCAAGATGAAATTTATCAAAGTTAAGAATTTATTTCGAGGTCCTTTCTAAACGAAAAGGTCAGAGACCCACTTTTTAGATACAGCCACCCCTACTTTTGGACTCATAACCAAAGAGAGGGCAGCCAGTTAGCACCCGCCGCTAAAAGGACTTTGTCCAGATCTTTGAACTGAATATCAGTTTGACTGACTGTAATATTTTTATGGCGTGTCACAGCTGATAATGGAAATGTGTTCAGCAGTAGCACATCTCGAACCTTGGACTATATGATTCGCAGCGCGACAGACGAAACAATAGAACATGCTCGGCCAGGTCAATGAATAATACAAGAGCTTACCTTTATTTATATGTATCTGTAAGTATATTTGATAAATAAATAATTATTATTGGGGCGAATAACGAATGTCACATATATTGGAACTAATTAGGCTTATTATAAAAATGCGGAGATATACAAAATGAGCAAGAGATGCGTAGAGAGTAAGTAAGTCGACAAACAATCAAGTTATTAATCAGGTGCTCGGGAAAGATGAAAAAAAAAGATGACAGGCACAAGGAGGAAGATCCATCACTTCACTTTGTTGGCCTAATCATGTCTGTGTCAGAAAATTTGCAAGAAACCAATTACACACTGAATTTTTATATTGTAATTTTTCGGAATTCAATATATGATTCGTTTTTTATAGCACACAACATATATTAAAATAACATTCATTACTGTGTATACATAAAAAATAACGACACAAAAATCTAAAAAAGCTGAAAATAATTTTTATATTTTACCTAGTATCGTATATATATATATATATATATAGATGTTCTTCAGGGTAAAACTATAAACCCGAACAACACACATACATAGAGAATAGAACTCTTTAAAGTCGAAACCTAATCTTGTTTGAAGTTAAGAACAAAGCTACGCAATGGGCTATCCGTGCTCTGCCCACCACGGGTATCGAAACCCGGTTTCTAGCGTTGTGAGTCCACAGACATACCGCTGCCCTACTGGGGGCGAAACCTAATCAATAAGAAAACCAACTTTCGGCGTTTTTCATACCATTTTCTTTCATTTTTATTATTACAAAACCAAAAAGGATACACTAATCCATCAAAAGGATCTTTTGTACATTTATTATAATGTTGCCCGGCATATAAAGAATTAATTAGAGGAATTCTAAGATTTAACAGTTGCAAGTGCATTTCCATTGTTAAATCTTGGTTTTGTTGTTATAAAAATGTAAGTAAATGGTATGAAAATAACTTTATTAACAATTTAATGCAACAATTAATCAATAAAATTTTAACTGTAGAGGACGCTTTATTAAACTATAGATTTTGGAGTTATCTCGTTAGTTGTACGATAAGAAAAGAACAAAATATTTCAGTAAAAAACTTGTAAACAACATCTACCTCTGTTCGTGATCAAACTGGTCCCTTTTCGTTTTTTCGGTCTTCCTTTTGTCGGTGGGTATGTTACACTAGATGAGTCTGAGCTTGCCGTGTGACAGATTGAGCTTAGCCCAGTAAGTTCGCAAACATCAGACGAACAAAGATTGTTGTTAATTGCAGTGTCTTCGTGCGTAGGTCGGTCGTATTCGGAATACGTTGTCGTAGAAGTAACCTCGCTACTGGAAGCGTTGTATGGATACGTGTACTGTATCAGTAGTTCATAGTGGTAACGGCAGTAAATGGCGTCATCTTTCAGGCCGAAATATTCCCCTTTAGTGAAAGGCTTATTACAAGTCGTGCAAGTGAAACAGTGGAGGTGGTACACGAAGTCCCGAGCACGCATCACCAACTCAGTTGAACTGATTGCCAGATGACATCTTGCACACAATTTCACAGAAAATAATCTATAAAATAGAAAAAGTTAAACGGTCTGTTGAAAAAATAAAATAAAAACTAAAGAGGCTATCGAATGAGATTATTGCATTGGAATATATCACAATGTCATTTATGACAATAATTTCTCACTTTGGAATATATATCACAATGTCATTTATGATAAGAATTTCTCACTTTGGAATATATCACAATGTCATTTATGATAAGAATTTTTCACTTTGGAATATATCACGATGTCATTTATGATAAGAACTTGTCACCTTGGAATATATCACGATGTCATTTATGATAAGAATTTGTCACCTTGGAATATATCACAATGTCATTTATGACAAGAATTTGTCACCTTGGAATATATCACAATGTCATTTATGATAAGAATTTCTCACCTTGGAATATATCACAATATCATTTATGATAAGAATTTTTCACTTTAGAATATATCACAATGTCATCTATGACAAGAATTTTTCACTTTGGAATATATCACAATATCATTTATGACAAGAATTTTTCATTTTGGAATATATCACAATGTCATTTATGACAAGAATTTTTCATTTTGGAATATATCACGATGTTTTAATGAAGGACAATGTGTATGCTTCAGTAAATGACTTAATTATAATGCTTCAACAGTGAGAAACCTACATGCACTGAATCTTAAGTAAATGAATTGAGTGGCTAAAGGATCGAGATTCATAACTAAAAACACAATGTCATTTAGGACAAGAATTTCTCACTTTGGAATATATCAAAATGTCATTTATGATAAGAATTTTTCACTTTGGAATATATCACAATGCCATTTATGACAAGAATTGTTCACTTTAGAATATATCACAAAGTCATTTATGAGAAGAACTTGTCACTTTGGAATATATCACAATGTCATTTAGGAGAATATATCACTTATATATCGAGATTCATAACTAAAAACACACACGCTCTATAGTGTATGGTGTTGCATTTACAAAACAACAAATACTGTTCATTGGACTTTATGAACTACCAGAGTGTTATGTGGCTTCTGTGTTAAAATTATATTTAACACAAATAATTCTATTAAGCTCTATGTGTCTTGATGAATATAATTATACTGTTTTATAAATTGTTTTAAAACAAGTTCACTGCATATGTTTTTTCCCTACATTCCTCTTAATTTGTCCATTGTAGCTCGAAATTAAAAGAGTGTAAAAATAGCACTTCTTATCTATCTATTGTCTCTCACAACTCACTGCTTAAGAAGCATTTGAGCTGGGCGATGGGAGACAAAAGATTCTCTGAAACGCTATTTATATTAGCAGTACAGTGTTTTAAACGTAATGTTTTAAACACCAAAAACCGACGAAATATTTTCAGACCAACAGACTTAAAAATTGTTATAAGAACAAGTTAACTGTAGATGTGTTTTCCCCATATTTTTTAACTTGTTCATTGCAGCTCGAAATCAGAGGTATCTAAAATACAATCCAAAAATGCATTTCTATGCATCATTGTAATAGATAAAAACTAATTCCCATAAATTCGTTCACAGAGATACATTCCAAACTGTGTCATCAATTTAAGTTTACTTCAGAGATTAAGCTTTTACCATGAATCATATGAAAGTAATCAAACGTACACCTAAGAGTAGGACGGAACTTAAAACTACTATAGTTAATATATATACACGTACTTACGTTTATTGTTCTTTATTGGATTTTTATTGATATCATAGTTTACTCAAAATTAAAATGGGGCATGTTGATGAGGCACAAGAATATTATACACCGATCATAATACTCCTAAAATGAACTAAACCTACTTTTATTTTCTTAAGCAAAAACATTTATCCTTCCGCATTTAGAAAGCTCTAAAATTACCCCCTTTTTCGAGAAGGAGGAAACTTTATAAAAATCTGAGGAAACCCTTCTTGAGGCGCCAGTTACAAAAATGAAATGACTTACTAGTTAAAACATTGTTGAAGTGTCAATAAGAAAAGTAAACTGCTTTGCTAGTTAAATCAGTCTTGAAGTGTCAATATGAATAACACACTGCTTTGCTAGTTAAATCAGTCTTGAAGTTTCAATATGAATAATACACTGCTTTGCTAGTTAAATCAGTCTTGAAGTTTCAATATGAATAATACACTGCCTTGCTAGTTAAATCAGTCTTGAAGTGTCAATATGAATAATACACTGCTTTGCTAGTTAAATCAGTCTTGAAGTTTCAATATGAATAATACACTGCCTTGCTAGTTAAATCAGTCTTGAAGTGTCAATATGAATAATATACTGCCTTGCTAGTTAAATCAGTCTTGAAGTTTCAATATGAATAATACACTGCCTTGCTAGTTAAATCAGTCTTGAATTGTGAATAACAAGGTTACACTGTCTTATTAAATCTTTCGTAAAGCTTCAATAAAAAAATTCACTGCCTTGCAAATTAAGCCTTTATTGAAGTGTAAATAAGAAGACTACACTGTCTTGCAGTTAAATCATTCTTAAAGTTTCAGTACGAGTTCACTTCTTGCTTATAAAACCCTTTTTGAAGCGTCTGTAAGAGTATATTCTCTTGCTACTTTTCATATAAAAACATATTGTATTTATTTTTCTTCTCTCCAAAAATCATAATCGTGCGCCACTCTTTTATTTCTGGGCCGATCGTCTTGAAACTTAGACGGTATATACCTCGATACAATACGGCGAATTCCCTTTCATTGTTCTATTTATTTCTTAGCTTTGATTTTAGGAGGTCAATGGTCAAATACAAAAAACGTATTTTGGTCTGCAGTTCCCTTATATTTTAACCAACCAGAGTGAAACAGGAGTCAAAAGTTAGAAAATACAAAGTTATGGCTTAGGATCGTCCATTCCATTTATTTCAACCAACCTTTGCACAACTATACCTTGTGACTGTTCCCATAGATTGAGATAGACAGATTTGTTTTTTGTCATCCTTGCGACTTCACAGGGGTCAAAGATAAGAATATTCCACAGAAACGGAGTTTTTAACCTGCCATTCATCTGTAATTCCACCAGTCTAGATGAGACTTTGCCCGAACACACCTTGTGACAACTCCCACAGACTAAAGCAGACATATTTAGGATTTGTACTTCACATTATTTTACAGGGTCAAAGACAGAACAAAAGTTATCATTGTATGTAATAGGGATCTCTAAACCTAGAGACGTATCTGCATATGTAAACGTTACAAAGTGTTGCCTTTGTTCATACAGTGAATGGAATCGCATTCACCGTGTCGAAGAATAGGTCTTATTTGACCCAAAATTAGTTTGTTTTTTTTGCCATTGTGAACAAATGTATAAAAAGAGAAACTATCCATTTATTATAACGTCAAAATTTAATATGTCCCATTATATCTTTCTCTCAAAGATTAGTCCCCTCGATCTGAAGTATATATGCTGAAGTCTATATCCCCTTCCCCTGCCTTGAATGCCATGAAACCTATTGAGGACCTTATCGAATAAGGTGAATGGGAGGGGTGGTGGTGGTGACATATTGCATTATCTTGCGAATGTTGGATTGTGTAGTTAAATATTCATATTGTGATATCAAGTGCTTTATATATATTGTATAGATCGGCCAATATTATATATATATATATATATAAACACCAATTTTCTTGTTAATTTATATTTCATCGTACTGCTCCTTAAGGTGTTCACAATATATATACCTACATATATACACCAAAGGGTATTGTTGAAACTGGCCTATCGAATTTAGTTTGTTCATTCTATTTCTAGGTTAACAGTTTAATGTCGTCTTCTTCCTGTTATGGAAAAAACTTTATTTAATAAACAAAGACTAGGAATGGACCGATACCGAACCTTAGGTTGAAATCAATAATACACTGAATTATGAGATATTATTATCATTAAACGTTATATATCATTAAGTGGAGTAAGCTGTCACTATGTGTGGATTAATTACGAAATATTTCAAGAAAATACTTACCTGTAGTAGTCTTTCTTACAGTAGATATTCCCGTCTCGGGAGAAGCAAGTTAGTTCGGAGTCCAGAGGAAGTTTACATTCACAACATTTGAGACAATTAACATGCCATTGTCGGTCTACAGCCATGAGGTAGTAACGATCCATAATTCTTCCGTTGCATCCCGAGCACACTGCCGCCATTCCACTGGTTGTCTCGTCTAATCCGCACAGCGTTGGCATTTCAGCACTCTTAGTTCTCAAGCTTGAGGTGGCAGTCGAAATTGAATGCCAAAACGTATATCCCTCCTCTCCAGAATTATAATTAAAAATGCATGTTTTTTTGTTTTTTTTCACTGAACAGTCTGAAGTTTCTAAAACTGAATGCTCTAAATGAAATTTAGACTATTTTAGAGAGGAATTGGGCAATAAAGCTGTCTCAGGAACTGTGTTTTTGCACTGCGACTACTTCATGGGTTCTGGTGTTGACAACGACGTTTCGGGTTTCCTACTCAAATCCTACTAAAAGAATATTTCAGTATAATGAACGAGCTCTCAAGCAGTTGCAGTTCGTAAAAACACTTTAAAATATGGCACACGAAACCAAGTAGTTATACAACAAAATTTTCCTTGAACATACTAATAATCATGTAACTACTTCTTTATACTTAATTTCTTTTTCAAGCTCACCTTAAAGTAACATAGCCTCTACTTTAAAGCACTTTAGACTGTTTAATATGTGAACCAAACATCCTTCATAAAAGTCATAACTACTTTCAAAATAAAAACAAGTAATTATATATTCGACTCCATTAAAAGACGTGGGAGAAATAAAATTAAGATTGCCAAAATTACTGACTCAAACGTTACAGGAATATATGTGTGAATATATTCACTTTCTATTCAATCCTTGGGAAGCATCATCAAGAGAACAGAGAAGCCTGATTGAGTAAAACGTTGAGTTTTGAATACTTATACAAATCGAATCTAAGCATTATCACTTTATGGGTAGCGATGCTTTATAAATATTTAAACACTGTGGTCTCCCTTACCAAAGAGCATATACATTAAATGTTCTATGTTAACTTCGTACCAGTTCTAAGTGATATTTTCAATTTGTTTAAAACCTTTGAAAATTTTCATTTGTTATCAGGTCTGTACCTATCGGAAGACACCCCCCCCCAGCGGCTCAACGGTAAGTCTGAAGGCTTATAACGATAAAAATCACGTTTTGATACCCGTGGTGGGCACAACACACATAGACCTTTGTGTAGCTGTGTGACTAACTACAAAAAAAAAGAAAAACTATCGTAAGACCTTCTAGTATTAAAAAACAACAACAAACTCTGAGAAACCGAAGTTTTTAATGATAAGTTACAATTGTTTCTGTGGCCTGATATGTTTTCACCATAAATAACACTTTCTTCCTTTCACGAGATAACAAAGTGATTGTGTTGCTGTGATCACAGAATATTTAGGCTTAAAGTGAACTTCTGTATTTTTGATCAGTCAATTCAACCTAACCTAATGTTAGTTAACCTGCGTTAATCGGAATTATAAAAGAAAATAAGTTCCATGTAAAAATATGAAGTAGTCCTATCTCAAAACTATCCTTCACCCACTCGTTGTTCTTCTTCATCTTAAAATCCCTATTGAACAAACATGAAAAACTCCTTCACAAAACCACTATCTGCTGATTCGTATTAGATGCTCGTCTTAGAACTTCTCTTGAACGGGCATGAAACCATTACTTTCTCCCTCCCATTTCCTAGGTCAAAAGCTCAGTATATCCAAACATATTTCTTTTCCAAGATATCTTGATATTGGTTTTAGCTAAATATCATATCAGAGAACCAAAAACTAAAAATCGGGTCTTAATCAGTTGTATGTCAGAAAACCCAACGACTGGAAGTTCGGATCTTAATCCGCTGTATATCAGAATAAATAACCAACGACAGAAAATTCGGGTCTTAATCCGCTGTATATCAGAAGAATTAACGACTGGAAGTTCGAATCTTAATCCGCTGTATATCAGGAGAATTAAAGATTGGAAGTTCGGATCTTAATTTGCTGTATATCAGGAGAATTAACGACTGGAAGTTCGGATCTTAACCCGCTGTATATCAGGAGAATTAACGACTGGAAGTTCGTATCTTAATCCCGCTGTATATCAGAATAACCAACGACTGGAAGTTCGATTCTTAATCCGCTGTATATCAGGAGAATTAACGACTGGAAGTTCGGATCAAAAAAACTAGGTTTTAAAGAAAATAAAACTTTTCTATGTTAAATAAGTTATTACGTTATTAAGACTCGAGTTTCTAGTCGTTGTTTTTTATGATATACAGTGCATTAAGATCGGAACTTCCAGTTGCTGATTCTCCTGATATACAGCGGATTAAGATCCGAACTTCCAGTCGTTGATTCTCCTGATATACAGCGGATTAAGATACGAACTTCCAGTCGTTGGTTATTCTGAAATACAGCGGATTATGTTTTTTTTTGTTCGCGTCTGGTTATGCAGAAATCCTGTTGTGAATGCTGAGAATAATAACGCAGGCTTTTTTTTATATTGATTCCTCAGTTTATTACATATACAGTTGTTTATAGCAAGTACTTGTTTATGTCTAAATACCTACAGCCCAAAGTGAATAATCGTGGTGGCTTATTAGTGAAGAGTGCATAGGTTCAGGAAAGAGCAGTGAGCTTTAAGCTTTTTAAGTGGTTGGTATACGGACAAGCTCGTTTATCATCCGTAAGTTGGCAATCAAGCCTAACAACCACGATAGTTTACAACATTCACGTTTCCTCCAATTCTATACAACAACGGAAGACCGTTGTTTCACTCTCGTTGACAAGTGAGTGATTTGTGCCGGAATATATGTTGTTGAATATGCAACGATAATAAACTTCTCTCGAGTTCCACGTTGAGTTTAACGGGTTAATTCGCATGAGATCTTTCTTTGATCAGTACATCTCTGACCCAGCATGATTACTTCTAGTACCAAGCAAAGTCAAGTCAAAATCAAGTCAATTTATCAAAAATTGGTAAAACTCTATTTTGATAATATTGCATTACATTAGAAAACCTTAACTCAACTACAGAAAGAGACAACTAGAAGAAAATACATTGTAACATATTCAGCGTTTTTTGTTGTTTTTTTGGAAAATGTTTCAGTTAGCAGGACGAAGAATGCACGAAAATTATAATAGCAGTGATTGATTGAAGTTCCATATGTGAGATAATAATATAAATTACATGACAACGATGGCGTAATTTTATATCGCACCAGAAGTATTTGCTATTTGTTTGGCGTTAAGCAAAAAGCTGCGCAATGGACTATCTGTACTCTGCTCATCACAGTTATCGAAGCCCAGTTTTCAGCGTTATAAGCCTACAGACTTACCGCTATGCCACTATGGGGGGGGGGGGGCATTTGCTGTAAAAAAACAAAGCAACAACACAGAAGTCAGGAAGAAACATTTGTCGATAAAATTGATAAAAGGAACATAACGGTCGGTAATTTTATACCCTCCACCATGCTTAGATATGGAATACACAGAGATTTTGAACATATCAAATGTTTTTGAAATATAGTTTCAATTGTAAAGTGTTCGTAGAATTTTAGCCTCTGAGCATGAGAACGCAAGTATCTTAAGTACATCTGTTTTTGTGTCTTTCAATGTCGTATATTGTCATTTTCATCTAATTTTTTTGTTTTACAGCGTGCCCTTTTATCTCCGCAAAACTTTACTTTTTAAACATACCACCTGTACGTAATTACATATAATTTGTTTTTACTTTAAACTTTAATATTTCAAAAACTATATTTGTTGGCGGGATTGGTAGAATGCCTCATTTAATCATCTTTAAAACTTGGTGTGCTTCGGACTTTGCATTTCTTTGCAAGTTGCTACGCGAATATTATTTATCAGAAATAGGTGTGAAATGACAAATTAATCAAGACATTTGTCGACCTGGACGGCATTGCACTGTTCAATGATGGGGATTTCCATAGTGGCGTTATGTCGTGCATCTGCAGTGCCACGCAACTGCTTTAGAATACGTAAATTGTTCTTATAAAGTGCAATTAGACCTTTAACCTTCCGTATTGAAAACGAAAAGTGAAGAATGATTAATGGCTACTAGAATATTGTCAGTACGTCATAATAGTAAAAACAGTAGTATTTTATCCTATTACATATCAAACATTTGTTTTCATGTGCTGAATAATCATTTCCCTCCGTGGCGCTGCAGTAAGCTTGAGTTCTTATAATGTTAAAATTCGTGGTTTGATATCTGCAGTAGGCAGATAGCTGATTGGGCAGTTTTGCGTTTAAAATAGCAAAATACACAAACTGAATAACAATATTGCTAAAATAAAACAGACATTACATTACCAGCACATTACATTTTCTCCATTTTGTACTAGCCCTTATTTATACTAACAAATTCACCATAAGAATCACTGTAACTAGGTGTGCTCGATTATCTAGTTAGTTTTTAAAAATAAGAACCAAAGAAATATCCAATTGAACAATTTTATTGTACGGTAATAGCTCACTCGAATGAGTTTGTGTTTTAATAGTTGAATGTAAGCTTTTAATTATTTGAAAGCCACATGTATTGTATTACGATGCATGTTCACTTAACCATGGACTTACAGAGCATTGAAAAAAAATACTCACATTGATAAAGTAAAGTAGTAAGTTTAGTAAGAATACTTAGTAGTAAAGGTAAAATAAAAACAAAAATTGTCACAAAACGAAGGATTTGGTTGATTAAGTATTATTACTGAGCAATTTGAGTATTAGTTTAATTCTATATTACTATTTCTTTCGTTACTAAACTTATTTTTATAATCAAGAATTTATTAAACTTTTCTAAATTTTTCTAAGTACGTACCTCCAGGCTCGTCTTTACAGGCAAGCACTATGTGATTCGAAAATATTAATTCCACTACTCAATTTTTTTCTCTAGCCCACCTGAGTCTCCTCACTAGGAAGAGGTTGGAAGAAAGTCGATTATCTTAGTAAACGAAAATGTATGATCAATAAAGAAAACCTTAAGAACATTTTCACATGTATACTTGCGGAATGTTTTTCTTGATAATAAATTTATCAAATATTTTAAACTGTTGAAAATATAAAGGAATAAGCAGAGGTTAGAATAACTTTTAAATATCACATCGCTCATAATATGTTTGGATCAGTTTACGATTTAAAACCAATAAGGAAAAACGATTTTGTCGTCAATAAACAATACAAATGCCGAGTTAAAGTAAAATAAAACACAACAGATGAGAGAGAGAAGATACATGATTTCAATTCACATTAATATTTCTATTGTATTGTACTGCCAACTCATAAAAAACAATAAATAATAAAATATCTAAATAGTTGACAGTCTGTTGTTGAATCTCAAACAATGAAAACATTCTACACTCGTTCGATTTTTAGTTAATTCACATGAATGACATCTACTTCCCCCAGTAGGTCAGAGGTACGTCTACAGACGTAGAACGCTAAAATCCAGGATTCGGGTCCCGCGGTGAACAGAGTGCAAATAGATCATTGTGTATCTTTGCACTAAGAGAGCAACAACAACGAATAACACTAGTTTATTTATTCACTATGCTTCATTACACAATTCAGTAGCTCTGTAAATTAATTTGGTACGTTTTTTTTTACGATCCTAACTTTTGAAATTAAGTTACATAATTATAGTGATTGAATTTTATGTTGTTTTGCTATGTTAGTCACCAGCATACATTTATGCATTGCAATAGACATGTTGGGTTCTTGTTCGTTAATTTCACTCCCTCCCCACACACACAAAGAAAATAATAAGCAGACGTTTTAATATAAATAAGTTTACAGACTGATTTTTAACTTCAATTTAAGTAGAATTAGGACTTTCAATTAGTTTTGTCTTTTTTGACAGAATTTATTTTACTACAGGTTTCAGTTTCACAGATATTTCAATAAGTATTTAAAATGAACCCCGTTATGATATGGTTAAGCCAGTCAATCATAATTTGTTATGTTCTCGAATTCGTCAAAACACTTGTGAACTCCAACACACAGTTATATAAATGAGTAACATGTTTTCATGCAGGGTTTGCTGTCAACTCCGTATAAAGCAGCCGATATCGACCACAGCCGTTCTCATTCCTCTTAATTACGAAAAAGCTCTAGAACGTGAAAAATGACCTCTGAACTCTTGTCATAAAAGGAAGAGAGAGAGAGAGAGAGACTTGTTTATTTATAATAAAAAATAGCTGTGGTAAAATCTATCGATAACACTTTTTAAACCAAGTCTGGTATAACTTTATTACAAGTATAGACAGCTGGGTCTTCAACGGACTCGTAATCTGAATAACATTAAAAATTAAGAAGCTTCATAACAGTTATGTCAACTTTAGAATCTAAAGAAAAAAAGATAATTAATACAGCAGCATTTTCCTATCTTCAATGACGTTTCGAACAACTAGCGTTGCACATACAGGACAGGCATATAAAACCGAAATATGAACAACAAAGTGAAAACAGTAGGATTTATCTCTATAAGAGAGGAAACTGCGGAAGTAGGAACCAGGCAGAGATAGGAATACATTATGCATCAGACACAATTACCTATATTAGCAGTCCTCACATGTGAAATGAATTTATAATCGGGAGTAGGTTTTCATCTCACATCTAAAACAATCATGCACCGTCTGTATCCATTTGTAGGCAGATAGTTGTTTCTAAAAAAGCACGAAAATAAAAACATTTCTCTAAAAACAAAAATTATCTTTTGAACTTGCATTTCAGATCCCATAATGGTCACATACAAACAGCAAAACAGAAGTTTAGACGACTAGTTTAATACACATTTCTAATTAAATAAAGTCTGAATTTACCTTCCTAATTTGAACAAGGTAGTTCATCGCCCAATCTTCTCCTTGACCGATATGTTGTTAATTTGTCTCTTTTGAATTTTGCGCAAAGCTACACGAGG